CTATTACTCTTTGAATAGTAATTTTATTGTTCAACATTAATTTTCGAAACGTATATTATCCTTTTTTTTGGTAAACACATTAATTATACAAATGTAGTTTAGAAATAATTAATTGTTTACAGGTAGGTAGTTACTTAATAATTAGAAATTAATTTAACTCTTTCAGTTAATAAAAGTAACGCACATATCATAACCACCATGAGTGACATGTGTCATTGTGTCTTACTGCCTTAATAGTTAAGATTTTATTTTTTGAAAGTGAAAGATTAGTGATAAATAGTTAAGATTTTATCATAATTACTAATTGCTTTTATGCAAGGTTTATATGCCAAAGAGGGATTTTCTTCCTTATATAGTTATGACTTAAATTCAAAAATTTAAACTCGTACCAAAACCGGTTTGTACCAAATGATTTAATTTCCCGTTACTTCGGTTTAGAGTAAATTAGCTGTAAGCTTTTAACCTGAACTAGAAGTGAAACCAAACACTTCTTTAGGGTAACATTTGCGGGGAGCAAGTAAAAGTAAAAAACAATATTCTGTTGTAACCCGAACTTTTAACTTGGGGTAAAAGGTTAAAGTCTGAATCTTGGATAATTCATAACAATGTTAGCTCCATGTGTTAAAAGTTTTCAATTTTTCATCAATCACATTAGCAAAAAAAAGTACCACATATGCAACAAAGAACTTTTAACTTTAACAAAATAATGTCACATCCAAAATTTTCATATAAAGTATTGTGAATTCTGGTAGAAAACTATATAATAAAACTCTGATATATAAACTTTAGTAGACATCATCATAAAAATGATATGAAGCTAAAAAACACTGAAAGCTTCTTTCTTCAGCGTTTTCGATCTGACCGCCATTTGTATACCGGATTGCCATTTGGATTGAGTATCTCATCTTCACGTAGCTTACGTTTGCGACCCTTTTTCTACGCAATCAAAGAGTATAATCAGAGATGTTCCACTTAAGTAAAACATTACCAAGAAACAGTTATTTGCCCTGCATTGACATATCCTGTAATTCCTTAGAGATGTTAAGTTAGAGATGAATGGTTTCATTACCTGTAATTCCTTCTGCATTGACATATCCATGTATAATTTCTCCAAATCTTTTGCCCTGCTTTTCCGTGCCTCGAGTTCTCTATACGATCCCTCCATTTTCCTGTTTAAAGAAATCGAAGATGATGAGTATTGCCTGTCCGTTCGATACCTTGTTAAGACATCCAATGCATTTCAGATACGTACTTTTTAATATTTTTGGGAACCTCTATCACAGAGATATCACTTTTGCTTCTAGCTTCTAGCTCCAGTTCTCTAGCCTCCTCTCTGATAAAGAAAACCCAAAGTTACACAGGTCATAAGACAACACAAACAATGTGGTACCACTAATAAGCTACATACATACACCAAGTAAAGAAATATCTAAAATGCAGGAATATACCTGTCTTCTGCAAAGTATACATGTCTACGGCTCGACTGACCCTCAGTACATTGCAGTGATGAAGTAAGCTTGTCAATTTTCTACAAAAGAGAAAACCCGATAAATACGATTGTAAACAGAAGAAACCTCTTGGATTTTAAACGAGGAAAATATAACCTTACGTTTTTCTCGCTCTGCCATTTTTGGAACACATATCCTATATCTTGGGTCTTCATTATCATTAGCTCTTCTGCACTGTACTTATTTACCTCCTCCCTGAAATCAATAGCTTTGTCAAAATTTACAGACCAAGAATAAGAGAAACCATGAGGTTAGCAAAAGGAATTTCGATATGATTACTTTGGTCTATGAATTCCACGAATTGTTTGACTTTTGATCATCTTAAAGTTAAATTCATCTGGATTCTTGAATGCAGCCTTCTCCCTAAGTTTCTGCAGTAAATTAAGAATAAACAAAAGGCATTAAGCGAAGCTACACTCTGCAACATGCTAGTTTAAAATGCCTTCTACGGTTTTGAGTTTCCTATATTCTGCAATTATCTCAGAGAGATATCAATCAAATTCCTCAAAACCAACAAATGTCTAAAAGACGCAATGTTGTCACTCTATCTAATAGAAAGACTCCATAAACATAAGTTGTTAAAGGCCTGGGGTCGCAAACATGATAATCATAGCAAAGTGATGCAATTGAAAAAACTGTACCTTTAAAGTGTCCTGCTTCTTGTGATAAGCTTTAGCTCGGATAACATAATCCTTATGCTTCTCGAGGAGACCAAACCTCTTCCTATCATGCCTGAAGAGTTTAAAAAATCCAAACTTTTAAGAAGAGAAATTAGCAAAATAAAACAAAAGAATGAAGAACAAAGGAACAAGAGCTTACGGTTGAGATCGCTCCTTATGAGCAGGCCGAGGAACAGCATTACGCAGAGACGACATGTTCGATTTGCCCTGCAAATTACAGTCACGAAACTGATGGATTAAGAGAGCCTTAACACATGAACCTTAAACCTAATCGAGCTGAACTAAACCTACTCAGAGTTCATGAACTTAATGATATGAAACTGAAACCTTAATCTCAAGTCTGAATCTAATCCAAAAATGTAACATTCTGAAGTCTAAACATAACTACGAACTGAGCCTGGATT